GACAATGTAAAAAAAACTGTATACAGTCGCACCTGATGACCTCAAAGGATGAAATATGTATGGTCTAGTCACTGGGGAGGAGGGATATAATTGCCAGCCCACAGGGCATTATAGCACATGCACATTTGTGGGGACTCTTTGTGTAGTAGGGAGTTAATTCATTTATTTATTATTTAACCTCCCTGGAGGTATTCCCGAGTGTAGCTCGGGGTAAACTTTCAGTACCAAAAGCAGTAACCCCGAGCTACACTCGGGAATACACTGCGGCACTTCTCCAGCAATCCCTCCAGCACTTACCTTGTCCTGCGCTCCCGCGATGTCCCTCCTGCAGCGTCCCCGGCAATGTCCTCCGGCCGATGCCGGCATCTGTCTTCCGGTCCCTGCGAGCGTCAGGATGTACGGAGGACGGAACCGGCGGGAAATTCAAAAATGTAAAAAAGTGACATTCACTAAATACACTAAAATCACATAGTATAACATTCCTGTATCAAACCATTTCACATACATTTTGTCCCGAGTGCTTTGTCCTGTGCCCTGCCTGCATTTTTACCGTTCTTTCTGCCTGGAAACTGAGAAACGTCCAAAAAGCGTCCCTTTAGGTCAAAAGCGGTTTTAGACCGGCTAGAGAACAGCGATAGTAAATCAGAACCACTTGCAGAATTGAGTGATGATTTGTGGGGAAATTTGTCATCAGACACTGAAAACGATTCTGCGACTTTGCTCAGTGATGTGCGAACTTGGCGCTCTATTTCAAATTTCAGTGTTTTTGGTTTGATTATATTATTGAATTAAATTTATTATTATATTATTACTTTTTATGATTATTATATTATAATTTATAATTTTGTGTTTCAAATTTTCTCATACCCGGGATGTTTACTAGACTCTTGTTCGGACAGATTTCAGTGAGTTATTCCTAAAAATGACAGGCCTACAATAAAAAAAACAACATATTTCCATGCAAAAAAATGTACCGCTTTGAGCACAGAAATACTGACATAATCAGGCCACTAGGGAGGTTAAAGTACTTTTTGGGAGAGGCAGCGCAGCAATTGCAATATGTTTGCTTTTGGGTTTGAAACTGCTTTAATGTTTTGTGGGGTGAAAAGAAGGCAACTAGCTCTGTGACATTTCAGATATGACTGCCATAAAGCGTACACAGAGCTCACCACGCTGGGATCCAACAGGTGAGCAGTGATGGGGGAGAAGGGACAAGGTGGCGGTGGGCTATCAACCCAACCTCTGTAGTGAAATAGCAGCATGACGCCTAGGGGCCAATGTCAAAAGCTCCACACATTCAATGCAATGCTCTGCCCCTCCGCTCCATTGTGTAGGAGTTGTAGCAGATGCTTTTACTGAACCCTTCTGGGGTTTATATCAGCTTTTCCTCTCCCTAATGAAGGCTGAAGTCTGAACGTTCGCTCTTCTGTTTTCAGCGCACTTGCAGAGCTTAAAAGGGATTGTGCTGCAGGTCAGAGGAGATCTCGCCTGCTTTTAAGGCGCTGAACATATTCCGGGGGATTTGGATAATGGGATTCTGGTGAAGGTAAAATGTTCTGTTTTTCTGCAGCTTTTAAAGAGGTTATTTTAATAAACGGCTCTGTACATCTACCTCAGGAAACCTGAATTCCTAGACATGTGCTTTTGTTTCCGGTGAATATTAATGCGTTACATTTTCACAGCAGGGATTCTCTTGACACATCCTATTGTAATTCTCGGTATTCCTTGACTTAAAGGCTAAGTCCAACTTCAAGACAAATTAATAAATGCACATATTTATATGTGAAAAGATATATGAATTCATTATTCTTTTTTCTTTTTTTTCAATGATTCAAGTATTTCAATGATTTTTATTAGTTTATTAGTTTATAAAAATTTAAAAAAAAAGAGGAGCAACAAGACACGCCCAAACAGAAGCCATCAATTTCACATAAAAAGTAAAGAAAGCAGTGCTCTAACACCAACAGAGCAAAAGGTGCGCCCACGCAGGGGCTATCAATGGCACATAAATGACAAAAACATTGGTATAACATCCACAATAACTCAAACCAAAGGCAGCTATCCAAAACCACACCAAAAACAAACAAATAGAAAGGGAAGAAGTACAAAAGGAAAAGATGACAAGGCCATGAGCAGGGGTTTAGGAACACCAATACCGGGCAACATCACAACAATCCCAGACTAGCCAGGGGGAGTGTGGGAAGGGCATATTGCATTTTTTTTTTTAATCTGATCTTTTTTTATTTATTGAAATTTGGACCCATGTCCACATACAAGCAAATAACCGCACTCTCCAACAGAGTGCGATATTGGTGACAATATATTACAGCGGTACAATGTAAAAGGGATACATATATACCAAGGATGTAAACATAGATTCAAAACCACAAAATTTTCCATGTTTTTGATTTTCAAAAACTTCAAAACAAACAGAAAGAAAAAAATAGAACAAAATATAAAACCAAAGTAATCTGTTGTTCAAATATTTTATTACCGTATTTTTCGCTCCATAAGAGGCATCTGACCATAAGACGCACCTAGGTTTTAGAGGTAGAAAACAGGAAAAAAAAAATTCTGAACTAATGGACTGCAGACATAGTACAGGAGATGACCAGAGACTGCGGACAGAGTACAGGAGATGACCAGAGACTGCGGACAGCACAGGGATGACCAGAGACTGCGGACAGCACAGGGATGACCAGAGACTGCGGACACAGTACAGGAGATGACCAGAGACTGCGGACACAGTACAGGGATGACCAGAGACTGCGGACAGCATAGGGATGACCAGAGACTGCGGACAGCACAGGGATGACCAGAGACTGCGGACAGCACAGGGATGACCAGAGACTGTGGATAGTACAGGGGATGACTGCTGACCTTTGGGGAGGTGGGGAGGTGGGGAGCGGGTACCTGAATTTGACAGGTACCCGCTCCCACTTCCGCGGAGTTGTCCTTTCATCTTACCTGTTCCTCTATCCAGCCGCGCGCTGTCTTCCTGGCTTCTGTAATGGCGCTCGGCATGACAGCCGGGTGCCCAGTGCACATGAGTGAGAAGCACTTGCGCTTTGTGATTGGTCCGGCGGCTTCTGGGATCTGTCATGTGTCCCAGGTGCCGCCTTACCATTCACAAAAAGCACCGCTTCTCGCGCATGCGCACTTGGCACCCGGCTGTCATGCCCACACTACAGAAGCCGGGAAGACCGCACCGCTGGATAGAGGAACAGGTAAGATGAAAGAACAACTCCACGGAAGTGGGAGCGGGTACCTGTCAAATTCAGGTACCCGCTCCCCCCCCTCCCCAAAGGTCAGCAGTCATCTCTATAAGGTCCCATTGCAGAGCTGAGTGGTCGGCCCGGTATTCTGACACGGCGGCAGTGGAAATACCGGACCGGCCGCTCCATATTCGCTCCATAAGATGCACTGACATTTTCCCCCCTTTTTTTGCGTCTTTTGGAGCGAAAAATACGGTAATTTTCAGAGCCAAGAGAACAAACATATGGCATCTCATATGCAAGTACCTGAACAAAACAATAAGAAACACAAAAAAGTAAAAAAAAAAAAAAAAAGAGGAAAGGGGGGAGAAATGGGAGGGCAGGTTGTATGCAGAGGTTATTTTAATAAACGGCTCTGTACATCTACTGCAGGAAACCTGAATTCCTCAACATGTGCTTTTGTTTCCGGTGTATATTAATGCCTTACATTTTCACAGCAGGGTTTCTCTTGTTGCATCCTATTGTAATTCTCGGTATTCCTTGACTTGAAGGTTAAGTCCAACTTAAAGAAAAAATAATAAATGCACATATTTATACATGAAAAATATATGAATTCATTATTCTTTTTTTTTTTTTTTAAATCAGATCTTTTTTATTTATTGAAATTTGGATCCATGTCCACATACAAGCAAATAACCGCACTCTCCAACAGAGTGCGATATTGGTGGCAATATATTACAGCGTTACAATGTAAAAGGGATACATGCATTCCATTAAAAAAACCAAAATGGACGAAAAACGGAAGAAAAATTGATGTGAACAAATGAAAAACAGATGTGAACTGATCTGTTTTTTTCTTGGAAAAAATGTGACTTAACTGATGAAAAAAACGGAACGCCCGTGTGAAAGGGGCCTTAAGACGAAGCAAAACATGGTGGTAGATGGAAATTCTCTGTGAATGAATGGCATGGCTGCATGGGCAGAGCCCTGCACAGACGAGTTGATTTCAAAAGTGATAGCGGCTGTAGTGAACTACAACCCTGGAATGTTGGGGGGGGGGGGGTTGCATGGCTCATTTGCACCATGTTACATGTTATACCCTAAACCAGTGGTTCTCAACCTTTCTAGAGCCGCGACCCCTTAATACAGTTCCTCATGTTGTGGTGACCCCCAACCATAAAATTATTTTCGTTGCTACTTCATAACTGTAATTTTGCAGTAGGAGGAATAGTGCCACGTCATTGGTGTCATTGGGAGGAATAGTGCCCCATCATTGGTATCAGTGGGAGGAATAGTGCCCCGTCATTGGTGTCAGTGGGAGGAATAGTGCCCCCTTCATTGGTGTCAGTGGGAGGAATCGTGCCCCGTCATTGGTGTCAGTGGGAGGAATAGTGCCCCGTCATTGGTGTCAGTGGGAGGAATAGTGCTCCATCATCGGTGTCAGTGGGAGGAATAGTGCCCCATCATCGGTGTCAGTGGGAGGAATAGTGCCTCATCATCGGTATCAGTGGGAGGAATAGTGCCCCATCATTGGTATCAGTGGGAGGAATAGTGCCCCATCATTGCTGTCAGTGGGAGGATTAGTGCCCCATCATTGGTGTCAGTGGGAGGAGGAATAGTGCCCCATCATTGGTGTCAGTGGGGGGAGGAATAGTGCCCCATCATAGGTGTCAGTGGGGGGAATAGTGCCCCATCATTGGTGTCAGTGGGGGGAATAGTGCCCCATCATAGGTGTCAGTGGGGGGAATAGTGCCCCATCATAGGTGTCAGTGGGGGGAGGAATAGTGCCCCATCCTTGGTGTCAGTGGGGGGAGGAATAGTGCCCCATCCTTGGTGTCAGTGGGGGGAGGAATAGTGCCCCATCCTTGGTGTCAGTGGGGGGAGGAATTGTGCCCCATCGTTGGTGTCAGTGGGGGGAGGAATCGTGCCCCATCCTTGGTGTCAGTGGGGGAGGAATAGTGCCCCATCGTTGGTGTCATTTGGGGGAGGAATAGTGCCCCATCGTTGGTGTCAGTGGGAGGAATAGTGCCCCATCATTGGTGTCAGTGGGAGGAATAGTGTCCCATCGTTGGTATTAGTGACACCAATGATGGGGCACTATTCCCACTGACACCAATGATACTTACCTTGCAGACCCCTGCTCCAGCCTGGGCTCGCTCGCTCCCTCCCTCTCCCATGGTACCGACACTTACCTGTCAGATGTCTTCCTTCTCCGGCCGCTCTCCTCCTCTTCACTCGCTCGATCTTCGCGGTGCCGCTCGGCTCCTCCTCTCCAAGCTCCACCTCCTTGCCGGTGATTGGCTGCCTGTGTGCCTCTCCTGAGCTACAGTGCCGGCGGCCAATCACAGGCGAGGATTGATCTCGAGGTGTGTCCAGATGACAGGGGCGGCATGTCATCCCGCCCACACCTGGAGACGGCGGTGGCGGCGGCGAGCAGCGGTGTCTCGGTTCCTAAGACCATCGGAAATATGTGTTTTCCGATGGTCTTAGGCGACCCCTGTGGAAGCGTCGTTCGACCCCCAAAGGGGTCGCGACCCCCAGGTTGAGAACCGCTGCCCTAAACAGAGAGATAACGTGCAGAAGATGGAGTTAGCCATTAAGAATGTGTTATGTTCTTTTTATGCAAGTCAATTTTTATTTAAAGGGCAAGTCCATCCAACCATCTAAATGTCTATGTGGTGCCGGGACTCTTTATTCATGCCAGAGGTTTTGTAAGATAATGCCCAAAGTTTTGTGATCCCGACTGTTTCAGTACCTTCGTTTTGGTCAGTGTGGCTGCCCATCATGGCGATAAGATGATAGCGACCTGCTGTGAAGGGAGGAAGCAGATGCTTTGATAGGAGATAGCTAATGCGAGGGAAGGGAATAGCTGCTGTAAATGGGATTGAAAAGCCACTGTGAAGGGGAAGCTACTGTCAAAGAAGAGAACTGCACGGGTGGAGCCACCTAGGGGTTTGAGATTTGCTGTGAATGGAGAGAAGAGTTCCTGTGGGAGGCGCTGTGGAGGTAGGAACTGCTGTAAAGGGAAGGAAGATCCACTGTGGGAGTTGCTATGATGGAAGGGGGGGTGCCACTCTTACATGGGGGTGTTTGTCAGGGCTGTGGCCATAGTCCTCTGCCAAAATGACATCTTTAAAATGCCAGAAATACATATTTAAAGAGGTGCTGGGTATTTCCAAACACGCAGTCAATTGAAGGAAAGCTTCAAAGAAGCTCTGGCAAGATTGTCCTCAAACAGCAAGGTTTCCCCAACATTTACCCGACAGTAGCTCAAACCACAGACATATAGAAAGGAGCGCCAGATCAAAAGAGGGATGAAAGAGTCCAAGATAATTTTGCATGCTGGTAAATAAGTCCTGTAATATCAGCCGACACGATTCAGCCAACACAATGCTCTTCGTCAGGGCCCAGCACAGGATGCACCCAGATCTATAATAGGCCTACAATTAAATTTTTCTTATGGATTAGCAATGTAATAGTTGCTGGGAGTTATTATTATTTATTTTATTTTAGGTACTTATATAGCGCCGTCAATTTTCGCAGCACTTTACATATATATTGTACATTCACATCAGTCCCTAACCCTCAAGGGGCGTACAATCTAAGGTCCCTAACTCACATTCATACATACACATACTAGGGACAATTTAGACAGGAGCCAGTTAACCTACCAGCATGTCTTTGGAGTGTGGCAGGAAACTGGAAACCCACACAGGCACAGGGAGAACATGCAAACTCCAGGCAGGTGGTGCTATGGATGGGATTTAAACCAGCGACCCTAGTAGACCCTAGTTCTATTTCTAGGTGTATTTTATCAATCTAATCCATTCAAGTTTTATCCTGTGATGAGCCCTGAAGAAGGGCATTTTGGCAGCTGAAACGTGTTGGCTGATTTACAGGACTTATTTACCAACAAGCAAAATTATCTTGGATTCTTTCATCCTTCTTCAAGGAGAAGTGCTTTGGCTCCTAAAACACATTGGTGTTTTTTTATATGGCTTATTTACTAACAATTAAAATCAGCTTGATTCCTTTGATCAGTCTTTTGGGCTGGCGCTCCTCTCTGTTTTTCTATGGTTTGATCTCCAAAATGCCCACACTGAAAACCAATGCGTAGTTAGCACCACATATCTGTTACTGTATTGGAAATATGGTTGCTTCCATGTACATGCAGTGTGTGTGTGTGTGTATATAAATAATGTGTGTGTGTGTATATATATATATACAGTGGGGATCGAAAGTTTGGGCAACCCAGCTAAAAATTTGTATTAATGTGCATAAAGAAGCCAAGGAAAGATGGAAAAATCTCCAAAAGGCATCAAATTACAGATTAGACATTCTTATAATATGTCAACAAAAGTTAGATTTTATTTCCATCATTTACACTTTCAAAATTACAGAAAACAAAAAAATGGCGTCTGCAAAAGTTTGGGCACCCTGCAGAGTTAATATCTTGTACTGCCCCCTTTGGCAAGTATCACAGCTTGTAAACGCTTTTTGTAGCCAGCCAAGAGTCTTTCAATTCTTGTTTGAGGTATCTTTGCCCATTCTTCCTTACAAAAGTCTTCCAGTTCTTTGAGATTTCTGGGTTGTCTGTCACGCACTGCTCTTTTAAGGTCTATCCATAGATTTTCAATTATGTTGAGGTCAGGAGATTGTGAAGGCCATGGCAAAACCTTCAGTTTACGCCTCTTGATGTAATCCCCCGTGGATTTCGTGGTGTGTTTAGGATCATTATCCATTTGTAGAAGCCATCCTCTCTTTAACTTCAGCTTTTTCACAGATGGCATCAAGTTACCATCCCAAATTTGCTGAAATTTTATTGAATCCATTTTTCCTTCTACTCGTGAGATGTTCCCTGTGCCACTGGCTGCATATGTGTGTGTGCGCGTGTGTGTATGTATATGTGTGTGTGTATATATATATAAAATATATATGTGTGTGTGTGTATATATATGTATATATGTGTGTGTGTATGTATATGTGTATATATATATATATATATATATATATATAAATAATTGTGTGTGTGTATATATATATATATTTATATATATAATGTGTGTGTGTATATATATATATATATATATATATATATAACTATACGTTGACACAAGTGTTTTTTCATAGAATTATTTTAAATCGATTTTACATCTGAAAATCCTTAAAAAGACTTCAGTTCCCCCAGACCAAAAAAAAAAAATGTGATTATTCTGATTAATATTAGACTGGCAGGACTGATGACGGCTTCATGTAAGTGGTGGCGCTCCTGCCGAGCGAGGATCAATTTACCTGCCGACAGAAGGGTTTGACGCAGTGACTTTCTGTGCCAGTTCTGTAATTAAATGTAACCGAGTTAAATTACAGTACGGGGATATCAATATACCGCTGACAATTCGTCCACAGGTCTGCGCGCTGAGCCCAGAATAAAAATGTTCACAAAATTACACAATGTTGGATGGTAATGTGATGAGAGATTAAAGGGAACCTGTAGTGTATGAAATAGGACTATCATCCCAACCATGGTACCACCTGCCTGGAGCTTGCATGTTCTCCCTGTGCCTGCATGGGTTTCCTCCGGGTACTCCGGTTTCCTCCCACACTCCAAAGACACGCTGGTAGGTTAATTGGCTCCTGTCTAAATTGTCCCTAGTATGTGTATGTATGAATGTGAGTTAGGGACCTTATATTGTACACTCCTTGAGGGTTAGGGACTGATATGAATGTACAATATATATGTAAAGTGCTGGGTAAATTGATGGCGCTATATAAGTACCTGAAATAATAATAATGATCGCTGACCTCCCTCTGAAAATACTAGTTGCCTGTCTGTGTTCTTACAGAATCATGAACCTGGAGCCATCATGCAGCAAGTCAGAAACTGGTGGTCTGAAAATAAAATATTTGCATTGTTACACACCACTAAAGTGACGTCTGAGGCTCAGTGCAGATCTGGTGTTGCCAGGTAGGATGAAACAGCATGACCCGGAGAAATATTAAAGCTGCTGACAAGATCCATTGTAGCACGTGCTATCCAGCTGTGTTTAGTTAAAGCAAAATTAAAGTTTTATTTAATTAAATTTAAAAAAAATGTATTTAATTGTAATTTTGTAATATCATTTTTATTTTCTTAATGGTTTCCCCAAATAAAGGTAAAGCTAAAAAATATTTCATAAATGTTTTGACTTACCCCCTTCCTGACCAGGCCATTTTTCGCATTACGACGCTGCGTTACTTTAACTGACAATTGCGCGGTCATGCAACGCTGCACCCAAATGAAATTGATGTCCTTTTTTTTCCTATGGATTGAGCATTCTTTCAGTGGTATTTGATCGCCTCTGCGATTTTTTTATTTTTTTGCACTATAAAGAAAAAAGACTGACAATTTTGAGAAAAAAAAAACAATATTTTTGACTTTGCTATTAAACATGTCCAGTAAAATAATGTAAAAAAACAAATTTCGTCATAAATTTAGGCCAAAATGTATTCTGCTACGTGTCTTTGCTAAAATAAATTCCAATATGTGTAAATTAATTGATTTACGTGAACGTTATATTGTCTACAAATGGCCATGTACAGTTTTTAATCAAAAGTTTGCCTCCCCTGGCAGAAATTGTGAAATTTTGGCATTGATATTGAAAATATGACTGATCATGCCAAAAAATGCTCTTTTATTGAAGGATGATGATCATATGAAGCCGTTTATTGTCAAATAGTTGCTTGGCTCCTTTTTAAATCAGAATGATAACAGAAAATCACCCGAATGGCCCGGATCAGAAGTCTCTGTCCGCTGGGATGTTTAGCCTTAGTACAGACACACAAGGTGACACACACGGGTTACAATGCCAATTAGAGGTTAATGTCCCACATCTGTGGCTTTTTAAATTGCAATTAATGTCAGTGTATAAATAGTCAATGAGTTTGTTAGCTCTTAC